GGATAAAAAAAAAAAAAAAAGGTGCTTCTCTTGCTGAGGTTTGACGAAGTGATGCTGTGTTTGTCGGGGGCATAGCTGCAATGCACCCACTGGAAACAAAAAGGCCCCTCTAAATAGTGTTTTATTTCTCTGTCTTTTTTTTATGTAGCTCCAACTTGCAATACCTACGCTTCCCCTCATCTCACGTATTCTCAGCCTGCGGAGGCAGAATGAAATCAGCACGCTGTGGGTTTTGTTTGCAAAATCTTCCCTGGGCAGTTTCTGCCTTTCTTGTGTTAGCCTTCGTGTAAAGACTTAATATTTTCTGACGGAAACCCCGAGCCATCTCTCTGTGTCCGTACTTGTGCGTGTGTACAGTTATATATAAATCTGACCAGAACTCCCCGGAGCCACCGTTACTGTTTAGCACCCAGTGCTGACTCAGCCAGCTACAACCCAGTGTAGCAACAAGCGTGGTAATTGCTTTCTTACAAACGCTTGTTCCCGGAGGGAAATCCTGCCCCAGCTATCTGCTGCTCCCCTCCGAGGGGCAGATCTCGAGGGGCAGGGCTGCTCCACGGGAGATGCCGGTGGAACCGGAGCGTGTGGTCTTGGGGGAGAAGCTGTTGGGGCTTTGCTGGTAGAGGTTGTCTTCAAATCCCATAAAACCCTGTTTGTGTTGCAAATTGTGAGGGGGGGACGACACATGAAAAGAAAAGTGTCATAGGTGTTGGGGAGTGAAGGCGTTTATTTGCGTGGAAGCTGTTGATGGCAAAGCTGTGCAGCTGGTCGGAGCTGAACTTTTTGTTTATAGTGGAGCCAATCTCTTTACACCCGCGTGTTTCCCTGGTAATGTACCCCTCCTCTGAGTGTGCACCCCCGTGCCTGCACACCCCCTCCTGCTGCTGGTCTCTCCAGCAGATCAAACCTCCACTTTACATGCCCCTGATCTCATCAAAACCAGCCTGGAGGTGTTGCCATCTCAGGAAGAGAAATTCTCTCCCTGTCCAGCTGTTCAGACTGAGTTTCTGTGACCCCTTGTCCTCGAAAAGTTATTTGTGGTTGTGCTTCACCTCTGACCCATCTAGTTTAGGGATTGTCTCTGGCACAGACGTGCCTGTACCTCAGTGCCCCCCCAGTTTGTGCTGACCAGGGAGTGACCCTGTGGGGTTTTTTTTGGGCAAACGCAGGTCTCCTGCTTCATGGACCTTCCGAAGCCGAGACCACCCCGCAGGTGTGTTGCTCACCAATGGAGAGATGGATGTGGGGAAGAACTGGTTTTAGGAGAGGGACTGAGTGTGACTTGTCCCTCAGTGGGTCACCACAGTTGGTGCCTCTTGTCCTCCTGGGGAAGAATCTGAGCCTGGATTATAGCCCGCTGCTCCCACCCGGCTCTAACACACACACACGGAGTCCAAAACTGTAAGAAAACTCTTTTACTTTCCTTCCACTCCATCCATGACTCCCTCCTGGTGGCACAGACAGTGGCAGTTGGGAGCCTTCGCTGCGGGAAGGCTTAGTTCCACACCGAGACACCGAGAAACAATTGCTACAGAGGAAAGCAAGACTTTAAGCAGAGAAACGCTCTCTCCGGCGCGTTCCAGTCACCATGTGTCATACACCAGACCCACGCACGCTATACAGAGCACAGCTATAGATACAGAGGAGCGTATGTACAGGAGGTGAGCAGGGTGGTGCAGTGCTGCTGGGGAGGGGGCAGGGGATGATGATCCCTGTATCGCTACAGCCCCGGCTTGGCAGGGAAGGGCTCTTGTGTTTAGTAGAGGCTAAAACTCGCTTTCCCTTGCCCCGTGGAAGTCGCCTGTCGATGTGGGAGCAGCCTCCGTGGTCCCTCCCGGCTTGAGCACGGTGCCACCAGCCCCACGGCACACGGGGAGGGCAGGGGGAGCCAAGGGACGCCCGCGGGGCTGGGCCCGACTGGCCCCTGTGTGCACGGGGAGGGATTCCTCCAGCCGCCACGGCAAAACGGGGGCTGCAGAGTGGCTCTACAGTGTCAGTCTAGTAAAACCTTTCGCTGGCATGTCCAGTATATACATATATGTACAATCACCTGCCTCTTCCCTCCTCCTGGCCGCGTGGCAGGGGGTGGGATGGTTGGGGTGCTCTGGATTTGCATCCCTCGTTGTCTCCTGGTCAGGGCATGGCTGGAGGCAGATTCCCCCGAATCGCAGCTGCGGCCCGGCTGTCCTGTCCTTCTGCCCTGGGTTTTTGCAGGCCAGGTCCTGGAGCAAGCAGGGAGCGGGCTGAGATCCGGCAGGAGAGACACGGTTGTGAGGCTGCAGGTGGGAGGCTGGCAGGGAAAGGCAGAGATTGTCCTTGGGTTGGAAAGTGGCCGCTCTCATTTCAGACTTAGTAGTGGGAAGGCTGGTTTGGGGTCTGCTGTGCCCTTTGCTCATGCCTCGGTGGGGATTCCCCCTTCGAGTAGCCCTGGACAGGGAGTGCAACCGGTGCTGCCCTGGCAGAGGGGATGGAGACTCTCCCTGAGCACTTTGCTGTGAACAAGCTGATTTCAAGGACTGAAACAACTCCCAGAGATGTGAGTCGAGCCCTGCCCTTACGCAGTGGCACAGATCCGGAGCCTGGGAGCTCCCAGCAGAGGGGATGGAGCTGGCTGGGGGCTGCACGACTGCGTGAGGCTACCTGCGTCCACGCAGGTCTGGGAGGGAAGGGGCCACTCTGTGGGGTCTCCATCAAAGATACGGCTCTTCCCGTTGGGATGGAGCGTCAGGAAGCCCTCCAGAAACAGGGCAGTGTGGTTCCTTAGGAGATTGCTATTTCAAAGAAGTCCAAGGCAGCTTTGGTGCTGATCTGAGGAGCTGCAGAGATGTAAGAGGAAGGCTCCACGTCCAAACCCAACCTCTCTTAGCCCGTCAGAGCTGGGTTTGGTTATCGAGCACCGCGCAGGCACTGGCCATCATCACGCCTGGTCCAAGGTGGGCATGGTTGGAAGTGTGCTTGGGTTGATGCTCAGCCCAGCCACAGCACTGGGCTTCTTGCCCCCGGCCCCCAAGGGCTGAGGAAGCAGGGACAGCAAGGATGTCCCCAGGCAGGTCAGTCCTGGGGGGGCTCTGGGTCCCTCATCTGCGTGGGGGAAGCCAGTGTCAGGGAGGGGAAGGGGAGTTGGTTTCTCACAGGCTTTGGGGGGGCCCACGGGTGCTGGCATTGGCAGTTTTTTGCAAGAGTGACCCACCACAGGCACCTCCGGTGACAACCCCGCCACCGGTGACAGACATCAGTGCCATCCTGCATGCAGCCCCCAGCAAAGCAACCAGCCCCAGCCCTGCTCCGAGGAGCGCGGGGCCAGATCCGTGCTCCCAGCGTACAGGGCGGCTCCACGGGACACACAGGCCTGTGGTTCCCATCGCTTCCGATTTGGGATAAATCTGTTCCTGCTGCTCCAGCCGGGAGCGGTAACGAATCTCGCTTGCTTGGGGACAGTCTGTGTGTGAAGTAGCAGCGGAGCCACGCCGGCACTTGCAGGACCAGCCTATTCGCTCTGCCATAACCGGGAGAGACTTCTCATTATGCTGCCAGCAGCCCTGCGAGGCTTTTCAGAACAGATCCAATACGAGGTCAAGTTCTCACTAAAATCAAGTGGCTGGGAAGGAAAACTTTGTTACTCGCAGCAGCAACGCTGCCGCTGTGTATTAGTCAGCAATGAACAAGCAGAAGGTTTTATTTTGATGGTTTGACTGTGAGGGTGGAGGCGGCGCGTTTCGCTCTCCTGCCCTTTCCCTCGGGGTGGGGTGGCTGTGGGGTGCCCCCGGGAGCTGCCCTTGTGCTCCTGCCCTGCAATGTCCCACCTCGGTGGCTTTGGGGATGTCACTGGCAGCCCCCGCCACGCCTCTCACTCCTCACTTGCAGCCCCATTATCCCCACTCCAAGAGAGCTTCTGGGTACAAGGTGGGGGCAACGGGATATTTCAGAGCACAGCCCCCTCACACAGCTCTGAGCTGCCAGAAATGTCACTGCCTGGGGAGTTTTGCCAGGACAAAGCTGACGTGGGCACCTGCAGTTCTGGGCACGGGTCCTTCCCAGGGTTAGAAAGCCGGCTGGGCTTTCTGTGTTTTCAGCATTAAATCAGCACAAAGAGGAGACGCTCCAGGCTGGGGGCTCTTGTTGGAGACCCTGTGGGTGTGTGGCCAGGAACTGGCATCCTCCCCTGCCCACCCCTCGGCATCAGTCACGGTGTCGGTGACAGGACTGGCGCAAAACCAGCCACCGGTGGGTCTGGGAGCGCCGGGGGTGTGGAAACATCAGCTCCCATGATGGGCAGGGGGCTCAGTGCACCCCCCTCCCCACTGCCTCCCCCACTTTCCGCACAAATAACTCCTTCACCGCCCACCAAATACGAGCTACCCGCAGCCCCGCTGACGCATCGCTGCCTTATCCTGACAGGGGGCTCTGGCCATCACCATCTAATGTTTCACCGTAGCGTGACACGCTGCTCATGTTTTAATTCCTGCAGCATCAGCAGGGCAGCCTGCGCTGTCTCTGAGCCAGGGTTGGGCTTTATTTCACCTAACGCAGCCGGTGAGCAGCTGCCTGCACAGCTCAGCACAGGCAGCGAGGGGACAGGCAGCTGCCCGTGCAGCGCTGAGCCTCTGAGCAGACACACGGTCCTTGAAGGAGCGGTAAATGGTTAAAAGCAAAGAAATGCTGACAACGCTGTGTTTTGCCCTGCAGAAAGGCCCCCCCTGCCCTGCACCGTGTCGTGCCAGAGCCAGCTGTGCCCAGGAGCAGGCGTCGAGCCTGGCACTGAGCCGTTTTTTTTTTTTTTTTTTTCTTGGGGGGGGGGCTGGTGGGGGATGCTGGGGTGGCACAGCCAGACGGGTGATGCCCCTCGCAGGGACTCGCTGCAGGGCCCGGGCAGAGCCAGGGGGGGAAACTTCTCGCAGAGCTGGTGATCTTGCAGCATTGACATGGGATACGTGGCTGAGCAAGGCAGCACCCCAAAATGTGTGGCATGTCATGGGCGATGCTCATCCTTGCCTCCTGCATCGCTTGGGAAGGCTCTGTGTCTGCCAGGGCTGCTATGGGGAGGCCAGAGCGGGATGGGAAAGGGGGGGGGTGAGCAAGACCCGGCTGTTTTCTCCACCAAACCCACCGTGTTCCCACGGTTCTGGAGCAAGAGCCTGAGAACAGCGTCTGGCCTCTGGCGCAGACGCTGCTCTGGGTGCTCTGGCAGGGACAGGCCACTTCTCCCTGTCCCCTGGGCTCTCCCTTGTGGTCCAGCCAAGCCGGGCGGCTTCGCTGGGGCGGGAGCGGCAGCCGGCGCTCCCCAGCCCCGGGTTTGTGCACCGAGCTGGAAGTGCAGAGAGGGACAGGGGCAGAGCCGAGTGCTCCAGGATGCTCTTGAGAAGCTAAACGCAGAGGAGGCCGGGCAAGACCCACCACCCCTGCCACTGGGGGCTCCACCCTGTGTCCCCCCCTTTCCCCCACTGCGGTGCAGGAGGGGGACTGGGGGGGCTGCGTGTGTGCTGCCCTGCTCTTCCTCACGTCTTGGTGCTGGAAGAAGCCCCGTTGTCTGCTCTGCCTGGTCCCTGCGGCTCTGACGAGGGTCAGGGCCAAGTCCCCCGCCCCCTTCACCTCCCGTCCTCTCCATCACCCCCCATCCTCTCCCTCAGCCCTTCCTCTGCCCTGACTTGCCTGGAAGGAGCAGGGCAGGCGTCGCGGGCGGCCGGTCCATGCTTGCTCATCGCGTGCCGTGGGGCTGGTAGCCCCAGCGATCCTCGGGGTGGGACAAGCCCAGATCTCACCCAGGCACAGGAGCCGTTGGCAGCGGGATGTGCCGCAGCCCGGGTGCTCCCAACCCCCGGTGTGTTGTTGCTGCTGCTTAAACGCTTCCAAGGATTTCCCGCCAGGGACTGATTCCGGGCAATGGTGCCGAGGCTGCTCCGCCAGCCCGGCCGCGACTCGCCGGGGAGAGCAGCGACATCGGCTGCCAGTGCAGCCTGGGATGGCCTGTGAGCAGGTGGCAAGAGGGGCAGCGGCTACTAGGGAGGGAAAAAGGGGAAAATCCTCCACCAGAGGAGAAAACGTGCAGGCAGGTGATGTCACAGCGGGAGGAGGGAAGGGGCTCTCCTGCCATGGGGCTGGAGGAGGCAGGGTAGGAGCGTGGTGGGACCGGAGGGGCTGCCGGCGTGGCAGAGCTGCTTCCCGCGGGGCAGCCGCCTCCGTCCTGGTCCTGGCGTGTCACGTCCGGGCAGGGCAGCTGCTGCAGGCGATGCAGTCAAACAGCAGCAGGGAGGCGACGAAGTAATTTATAAGCTGGGCAAAATACAACCCCAAATATCCTTGTCTCCTCAGGGAGGGTGACCACAGGAGACGCTCGGGCTCCCCGGAGAGCTCCCACCAGGTCTTTGCTGTAAGATGGTGCATCTCGGCGGTGGCGCACGTGTTGGCAGCACCCGTGACCTCGGCTCCTCCTGAGACTACCCTGCTGCGTGCCTGTGGCCACGTGCAAGCACCCGTCCTGGGGCAGAGCACCCAAAGCCACCTAGCCCTGAGGGTAACTCCCGGAGAAGCCAGCAGAGCCGCCCCGGCGATACCTGTGGCCCATGGTGGCACTTTGGTGTTGAAAAGCGCCGTGTTGCTACAAGTTGTCTCTGTTTTCCTGGCGAGGCGACTCCTCCTGAACCATATCCTTCCCAGCACTTGAAAGCCAACCCACCAGCAGCTCGGGAGGAGCCCAGCTGAGGGCCCCCCCTGCCATCAGTGTATGCGTCCCCTAAGCTGGTGCTCCTGCCCCGATTCTGTACGTGCCACCCCCCTGCTGCAGTTGGGAGCAAGCGGGGAGAGGAGAACGAAGGAAGGAAACCCTGCCATCCTCTCAGATGCTCGTCTGGAGGTCGCCATTGAGCAGGGTCCTTTGGGTTTCTGTGGTCTCGTTGAGCCTGGATTTGTCCTGCTTGCTGTCGCTCCGGTCCGCCTCGTCCATGCCGCTGACCTTCACCAGGCAGAGGACGTTCTGAAAGCTCTTCTTGAAGTTGTCAGACAAGAAGGCGTAAAGGATGGGGTTGGCACAGCTGTTGGCATAACTGAGGACCACCACGAAGTCGAACATGCCCTTGAGGACAGGCGTGGGCACGATCAGGACGGAGACTGAGGAGACATTAAAGATGTAGAAGGGGAGCCAGCAGAAGATGAAGACAGCGACCACGATGGAGACCATCCTGGTGACTTTCTTCTCGGACTTTTTCCTCTTGGAGGAGCCCACTCTGATACCCGAGGACTTGACTTTGATAATGATGAACAAGTAGCAAAGGCAGATAATGGTGAGAGGCACCAGGAAGCCCAAGATGAAGGCGTAGATGATGAAACCCGTGTACCAGGCGCCCGACTCTCCCGGCCAGATGATGGTGCAGCTACTCCTGCCATGATTATGCTGCACCCCAGCGTAAATCATGATGGGCATGATCACCAACAGGGAGACGCCCCAAACGGCCACATTGATCATTTTGGCTGTCCTGGGCCGCCTCCACTTGGCAGATTTAATGGGGTGGACGACAGCCAGGTACCGGTCAACGCTCATAACTGTCAAGCAGAAGATACTGGTGAACTGGTTGATCCCATCTACTGTCATGACAATTCTGCAGATGGCTTTGCCAAAGGGCCAGTGAACCAGGGCGACCTGCATGGCCAGGAAGGGCAGACCGAGCATGAACAGTTCATCCGCGATGGCCAAGTTGAGGATGTAGATGTTGGTGATGGTTTTCATCTTGGCGTAACGAAGGATGACGTATATCACCAGCGTGTTGCCGCACAGCCCGACGATGCAGACCACGAAGTAGATGAAGGTGAGGATGGCGTTGCTGGTCAGGTCGAAGTGTTGGCCCGTGGCGTTCTGCGACGCGTTGGCGGGCGCTTCCACTGAGAAGTTGTCAAAGGGGGAAGCTGGGGAGAACCAGAACGCAGTGGCGTTGGGCAGCTCATATTCCGGCTCCATGGCTCCGCGGGTCCCTGGGCGCTGCTGGTTCAGGGGAGCCGAGAAGTCATCTCCCCTTGCTCTGGGGATAGAGGAGAAGATTCTAGAAATCAGAGAATAAATAGAAATGAAGGGATTCCTGGGGAGGCTTTGCCCAGGCTGCTGCCAAGCTCCGTAGGAGAGATGCTCCCTGGAGGGGTTTTCCCCAAACAACCTCCCCCGTCTCCCCCCCCGGTGCCGTGCGGCGCCGAGCGGGCTGCCCTGGACACGCCGCAGCTCCTCCCGACTCTGCGATACCGGAGTCCCCCCCAAACCAACCGGGGAGTCTCCGGTGGGTGCGACGGACCCCGGAGCACTGAAGAAAAACCTTTTTTTCTTCCTTGTCTCGCCTTTGGGTGGGCTGTCAGCCCCTTCCTGCCCGGCAGCGACC